TATAAAGACAAATGTCACCGTGTGACGGATTGTCCGTACGAAATCACGCGAATAATGCAGACGTATTGCTGAATGCGTAGTAAATCAATGTATTCCCAATCGGACCGTATCATTTAGAGCATAATCGTATCGAGCCTGGCGTATCATCGTCAGCTACCACCGCGCGCATTCACCCTCGTGCCCCGCGTCAGCACGTCGAGTGATTTGAGAACAATATCAACGACGCATCCGTTCTGGCCAATGAGAACGGATACAGAGAGTTGCGCGTACGCAAATTTGCATAACTCGGTTCGTTGTGGACGTGCTGCGCATAGATAGCTCGACGGTTGGCGCTGTAGTGCGATCCCACGTAGCGCAATCGCGCAATCCTCTTTTCCTGAAAACGGAAAAAACGATTTGTAACGGAAAATACGGTAATACCATTACCGTATATGTACCGTTGATGGGATTACAGAACGTAAAATTGATAATTTATGCGTGAAGTGTAATACATTTTCGCGTGTCGCGCACACTAAAGGACCCATTAACAAATTTAAATATTCAAACGTCGAGGACTGGGGTGCGAATAATTTCGGAATTACAATATTTTCAAATAAAGATGCGATTGTTTGAAATATCTGGGAGATCGAAATTCACGGAAAATCGCTTGTGTGTGACCTACAGCGGTGATCCAGAAACGGCTCAATGTCGCTCGATTCATATTTCACGCGAGTAACACAAAAGTGCATTACTGGACTAGTAGATTAAACTTTTCTCATCAAGCACGCGGCGACGGATACTTCCGACATAACAAGTTCCCCTTCGACCACTCGCTTGATGAAGTGCGATAAAGTTTGCCCGCTTACCAGCAACTTCATCATGACTGCGTTTCCACGCTGACTTTTTCAATCCTCTTTCGCGGATTTTCCGCGACCTCCGTATTGCCGGCTGCAATTTCGACGATTTTCTCACAAACTATTCTTTCCATTATAGACTTTGCTTATGGATAGCTTTTATTAACGTGAACGGGAGAAAATGTCAGTATTAAAGTGCATTATGCTCCTTACTGAAATATCGGAGCAAGGTTAATCTAAAAAGTCTCCTCGTTTGTTCCGTTATTGCAATGCGATCAGTAGGAATTGAAATTGATTGTGTTAACGTCGAATGCTTTCTGAAAGCTGTACTTGAAATCTGTACTGAAATATATTGAATAAATAATGAGGGTTATTATACATATACAAAAACATAGAAAAGATATAAGATTTATATTTAAGAAAAAAAATATGCAAAATTTTCATGTCGAAGTTATTATGCAAGTTACTATTTAGTTTTATATAATTAGTACATAAATATATAAGTATACAAACGAAAATTTCATGTTTATTTAAACATGGTAACTCATAACGTGTGTCTTCTAACACAAATTAGATATTCGATGACTCTGCATTTTTATTTCTGTGTTATTACACTATATTTTTCTTACATGAGATAACACAAGAAAATTATTCGTAATTGATATAAGATAATGAATAATTATTGTAATGACAATGATGTGCCTGCTATGTATATAAATCTAAAACCGTGTCTTTTCTAACACAATTTAGATATTCGATGACTTTGCATTTTTATTTCTGTGTTATTATACTGTACTTTTCTTACATGAGATAACATAAGAAAATTATACGTAATTGATATAAGATAATGAATAATTATTGTAATGACAATGATGTGCCTGCTATGTATATAAATCTAAAACCGTGTCTTTTCTAACACAATTTAGATATTCGATGACTTTGCATTTTTATTTCTGTGTTATTATACTGTACTTTTCTTACATGAGATAACATAAGNTTATTGTAATGACAATGATATGCCTGCTATATATATAAATTTAAAACCGCTGTTTAATGAATATCAGTTCTGCCGGCAATTTTAGTAGAGTAAACTACGTACATACATATAACATTGTAACTGCAATTATTACTGGAACATTGGAAGTAATCTTTTCTTTTTGCAAAGGTGTCAATCTTTCCATTGATTAATTGAATAAAAATTACTTTATCAATCTAAAATTACGGCAAAAGCGTCTTTTAAATGATTCCCTCGAAGTATATTGTAAGTTTTACTTAATGTCATTTAATGTTACAAGTTTTGTATACTATTAGTATTGTGAAAACTGGGGATATTTATCTCCTATAATTTTTTCAGATTATGTTTTTCTGCTTAACATTGATAATGTTAAGCCTGACAATCATTGCTGCAGATCAAAATGTTACAGTTGGATTAAAAGTAGATAAAGATGGTAAGTTTTCTCTCAAAATTGCCAAAAAATTATGCATATTTGCGATAAAATAGCGACTATTGTTTTTAGCGACATGTCAGAACGCACCATATACAGGGTCTATTAAAAAATTTTATATTAACCATTTAACCTCATATAAATATTCAAATAACTGTATAAATGCATGAAATAATTATGTTCCGACACATTATTTTACTAGAAAGTGTATGTTTACAAAAATATAAAATTTCAAATAACTCTGTGATCTTCCAATACAGGAAAATCATTTCAGTTTCTTATGTTCTCTAGATCTTATACCTAGACAACATACATCTAAAATCGAGACATAAGACATCTGAAAAATGTCTTAAAGACGTTTGTAAAACGTCTAATAGACGTCTTAAAGATATTTTTCAGAAATTTTATGTTCCGATTTTAGACATTATGTTATTTGGAGTAACATTCATTTTTAACCCTTTGGGGACGGAGCCGCTCGACGGGCGAGCGTCGCTGAGGACGAGAGGTATTGGAGTGCGCAGTAAAGAAAATAAATACGTTGAACGTTATAAAAACTAAGGCTCTATTTAACGCAAGAAAAATTTTTCATAAACGGTAAAACGGCATGGGCGGCTATATGCCGACACGCGTCCGGAACGGTAAAACGGCATGGGCGGCTATATGCCGACACTCGTCCCCAAAGGGTTAAAGAAAGATGTGTTCAAAATTTATTTTGTGTTTCTATTGTTATTCTTCATTTTTTTATTTGGAGTGATATAACCAATTATAAAAAGAATAATTAAATAAGAACTTGAGAGTTTAAGATTATATAATATTTTATTTTACCTTATATTTACTTGTAAAAGAAAAAATGCATTAACCAATAATTTCAATTTTCATATTTCTTGTTGGTAACGCCTGAAATTTTAATACAGGAAACATTCATATTTTTCTCCCATTTCGATTTATTCAATATCGAGATGATTGATTGGAATAATCGTATATTAGAATTAATTTCGAAAACTGAAGAGGATTAATAAATAAGGACTAAAAGGAATTAATAAATTTACTCTTGGGTAAAAGAAAGTGACTTTCCCAACCTTGAATATTTTAATATTGAAAAAATGTCTCGAAGTTTCTCGAATTTTCATTTCTATCTTATAATGTCTACCTTGAGAGGAAAGGTATGTAAAATTACTATATGGTTTCTACATTTATCTTTCGTTTCTGGAAACCTGAAGTGATGGGTAACTATTAAAAAAATAAAATAAAACATATTCTAGTTTAATATTGTATTGTCTCATATTATATACGTATACATATATATATGTAAATTATATGTATAATATATATGAAAAATTGAAGTGATGGGTTATTATTAGAAAAATAAAATAAAACCTTTTCTAGTTTAATGTCGTATCATCATATATTATATAAAAATATATACGTATATATGTAGATACATATATATGTATGTACATATATATATATATATATATATACATACAGTAATTCCTGAATATTCGTCATGATTATCAGCGATATCGAATTTACTCTGCTGTTATTATTGTATGCTGCCAGTATATTGTTGCTGTTAACATATTCCAAACGATTGACTACGCGTCTCTCTACGATACTTTCGTACGACAGCGGCTACGCGATTCAATCTAGACGGTTCGCTTGTAAGAATTTATAGTACTTAGTTGCGCAAAACCATGTTTCCCTAAGCGTAGAGGAGGCCTCTTTGAGATGGTAATGCGCATGGACGATGTGGCCGTAATTTTCGCAATTCCCAGCCGCAAGTCAGATGAAAACCACATGAGCGGACGGAGCGATGCGCGGACTCTATTATGACACAACGTCTTGCATTCGTGACCGTGATTGAAAACGGAGATTAAAGGACGAGCGCGCGCCAGGATGTCGTGACGCGAGTGTGATGTGTCGCGAAGCGGAGCGACGAGGGAAATGCTTCGATATCCGCGCGAAAGCCCATCGCCTTTACACAGAATACGCGGCTGATTGGTACGACGTTGAGGCAATTTCCTACAATTACCGGAGAAGGTGGACCGGGTATCGTCTCGTAATGGAGACCTCGGCACCAATAGCGATACAATGGACCGCGAAATAGGGTCCAATGGACTGGCCACACCAATTCCGATTAACTCTGAAGGAGGTATTATACACCTTGAAACAATGGACTCCGACTATTCAGACTTTGTACATTTGCCAGTAACGCACATAGCGTATAATGCCCCCCCCCTCTCTCTCTGTCTCTATTTATTTATCTATTACACATAAGGTGTAAAGTTGAAGTCGCAGGGGTAACTCCAGTTATTATAATAGAATATTAGAGTAGTATTAGAATTATAATAGCTTTAATTATGATAGTTTCGATTTTATATGTACATGAGACAAGCTAAAAATCATATAATAACAAAAGTTTCAAAAATTCTAAGGAATGATACAGCATGTATGACGCCGACTGTATCTGATGTGTGAAGGGAAATATAACAGAGCGATGTTTTTGTTCCAGAAGTGCCATTGTGTGCGCATTTATTATTTTTATATATAACACTGTATACCGAAAATCATTGTTATGTACACATATATATATAGAACATATAAAAGATACGGTGACGGGAGATACGCCAAATGACGAAGATCACGATGCACTGGTCGAGATGATGGATGCCGAAGAGATCAGTCGCGGAGGTCCTTAGATCACGATGCCGAATAAAACGAATTACCAATGTCCAGCTGCATAGCCGCGAACGATACCGCCTAATCCAGCGTGTCCAGCAGCGATGCTACCGGATGGGCCTGCGATGAGGGCTGGAGCCGCAATCGGTCCGGCGAGAGCCGCTGGCCCTACAGCGGGGCCCGCCAGCACTGCTCCGTATGAGCCTGAAAAATATTTTTATCGGTACTCACATATTCTCAAGTCAATAATGAACTGTAAAATATATTTTAGGATCGAACGGTTGGAATCCATCGGAATGGAAATTAGGCACATCTGTGTCATAGCTTTTACAGAACCGAAAGATCAAAGTGGACAATAAAATGTAACTGAACCAACGAGCACCGGTAGTACGTTACGCTGAAATGTCATATTCGATCACTAACAAAAGTCATGGCGAACGAGCTGAAATATATACTATGATTTATCGGCTATTATTAAGACCATGTTCGCGCACTTAAACTACCGTTTTGTTCCTACAAAGCGTGCCGATATGCCAGATGCATATATTATAAAGGTTGAGATTAAGTGAATTTTTCCTTCTTATTTTTCTTATTTTACATTGTAAGCAGCCGGCAATGATTTTATTATTGATGAGTTATTTTAATATATATATATATATATATATATATAATGATAACCATTTATAGTTTATTCGAGCTTACCATAAGCCGGCCATCCCAACCCTGGTGCTGCGTAGCCGAGAGCCGGGCCGACCACCGCGGTGTGTCCAGCGACGCTACCGGAAACAACCGAGGGTCCAGCAACCGCACCGGTGACAACAGCACCGCCGTCGACGGCTCCGGAGAGACGCGCAGGTCCAACTACTGGTCCGGCAAGGGCTGATGGGCCATTAGCAGGTCCGGTGAGGGTAGCTGGCCCCAGAATCGGACCGGCTAACGCTGCGCCATGGCCCAAGTAGCCGGATGGTACCGCGGTCGCCACCGACAGAGCCGTCACGAGGAGAATCGCGACCAGGGTGCACATGATGAGGTGTCTGGCGGTTGCTGGTATGATGTCGGGAAAATTTGCCTCGATGGCTGAGGTGGATGTGCTGCCACCGACTGGTGTCAGACGCGCTTTTATAGGAATATTGTCTCCCCGATCGGGCTCAGAGAACTCAGTTGCTCCCGCCAACCCCAAGGGCGGGGCACAGGACACGCCAAACATTCTCCGCGGGCTGGGTATGTGGCGACGTTTTGCCGACTTATCGACATTAAGTCAGTCACCGTCTAAGTGACACCAGAATGCCCCTAACGCCTCACCTCGTCGTGTCGGGTCCCAACGTGAGGGTCACGCCGCTCCACTTCAACGCATCCGTCTGTGTCTTGCGCGTTGCATTCGTCGCCTCGGCCTCTTGGTGGTACCGACGACAGCGAGCACGCAACCGATCAGATAGTTATCTCGGAATAATATTTATTTAAGTTAAAGTTCGCCGGGACGTGTACGCAATCATCGACGATTTATGCCGGAGACTTTGATCGACGTCGGATCAACACGCTCGGAAACGAGCGGTTTAGTAATTATGTCCAAGGATACAATTTTTATCCGACGACAATGCGCGCGTCCCGATTTTCAAAGATTTGATTATTCAGCGTCGTTCATTCGCCGTCTGCTTCCTCTTGGTAATCTGTATCGTGCGGAAGGAATGATTACGGGAGACGGTCATTTATCATGAAGGTCCAATCGCGTTCAATATGTAACGCCGTTATACGTATCGCAATATTCTCGTGCGGTTTGGAGGATAAGATCACGGCTACTCATCGCGAGCATCCAGTCATCGACGACCTTGGAAACAGAGATGATTTGCGCATGTTATACGTGTGTCTTCTTCCTGCTTTCTCTCGACTCAGGTAGGCTCGTGTCGCGCCATTAGAACGATTACGCGTTGCATTGTGCATCCGTTTAGGCGAGGCACGGGTGTTGCGTAGCCCACGCGTCATCCGGACTTCGCAGATTGTCGTCAGGAATGAGGGACCTATTGTTGTCGGATACGCCGGGTGCATATGCGTGTGTATGTGTGCGTTCGACACGACCGTATCACCAAGTTCGCAACAGATCGCAGTCAGCGCCGGGGATTGTTTGCAGTACCATTACCGGGCGTCATGCACAACCTCGGACGCAAAGGTGACTATTGATTGAGTGGCGCGGCAACTTTTCCGCCGCTTTTCCCGCCGTCATCCCGTCCATTGTCAGCGAAATCGAAATACTGCGTCCGATATGTTCGAGCGTATAGAAAAAGGGAAGAGAACAGCATACGTCGTTATCAACTTGGACATTTCATTACGTTCCTTTCATTCCGATCGCTCCTTTTTCGTCGAAAAGACGAGACCATGTATTGTGCGCCCTACGGCCATGGCACGGGTCTGCGATGCTCAAATTTTTTTTCTTACTTCGCCTGCCACCACTTTCGCGCAAACGGAATTGAACGAAGTTCCAGTAGTGATTTTCCGATGTAACTTTAGCTTTTATCGAATGGCAATGTATCCGAATAAACGTACAGTTTTGTTATCTATGTTATGTTATCTAACTCTGAAAGTTTTATTATCTATAAAACGAGCAAAAATGTAGTCCAAATAATTTCGAATATATTGCCACATTATAAAAGTTAAGGTTACTTCCGCTCCTTTTATAGATAATAATTATATAGAAAATTCTCAGTTCAAACAAAATTGTATTATATATGTACAACGTTGTTCAATAACGATTGTATTTGATTTTTAGATTATAGATCAGTTTTCAACGTTTCGTAGCATACACGAATGTGCACACTGAATGTTTGCGCTTTTGCAAATTATTGATATTTGAAATAAAAGTGCGCAATACGCTCTCGTGTAGTCGCAACAATATCACTGTGTTCTACTTTTTATACCTTTGCTGTGTCGCCATATCACACGTATAATTATTAACTGAAGTCTGCCTTTCGTGTGTCGTATCGTGTTATTATTGTACGAGATAATTTGCAAGCTAATCGTTATCGCGTGCATGGTGACGTTATTAGCGTGGTATATGATTGTCTACTTATTCATCAAAGAACACATCCGAAATACGAGCGACCGATTAGGTTTTCGAACTATACATAGGGCGATATGTTCTGCCTAATAACTAGTTTACAATTACAAAGCTTGGAACGTTACATAAAGCTATTATCGAAGTTGCTTGCAGGCGTACACATCGTATACATTAATCGATTACCATCGGACTAATGGTTCTGTCGTACCCATCGGCTGTAATGTTACGTTTTCATCAAAGTTAACGCTGGTATCGCTGTAAATTTAACTTTCTACATCATCAATCACCGAGTACTGTCGAGTGAATTCTGCTTCAAATATTGTGGAATGCAATGACTATCGTTTATTGGGAAGATTTTCAAAGTATACTGGACTCAGATTGATCGGTCGTGTAATCAAATTATACTATACATTGCAATAAATCACTTCTCATGCTTCAATCGCTACGTCTTTCTTCTTCGTGAGGATAATATTTTAGAGGACTTGATAAGTTATGATTTTGATGTTATTTAGTATTTATTAATTTCATATAAATAAGATTTACGAACTATATATTCTCTTTAGAAATAAGAACGTATATATCGTTTTATATCATATTTATTCCGATGGTCAGTAATAGGCATATCAATATTCTAGTATCGATTAGTAATGCACATGAAAAATTTTATTTACCCTTCTACTAATCTACTACTGTTATGAGCAATAATACACCTTGTATTCTTATATCATATATAGGAGATTTTCTATTTCAATTTACATCAGAAATATGCTCCTTAAATTAGCACAATATGTCATGTGATACCCGGTACATTTTTCATGTTATCATCTTAGAGATATCGATAATCGTTATTTAACGTTATCATGCAGTAAGTGTTCTTCAACGATTTATCTGTAGAATCTTCGAGTGCCTTCCCGCCGTGACAGTAAGTATTCCCTGGTTTATTATAGCGTTGATTTACAACCTCCGTTCAAGTATTCCTCCCTTCTATCTCTCCGGTTGCGCACAATCGCCATGGATCGCCAATAAACAACGCTACGGAGGTGATAAAATCGACTCCTTGAATCGCTCACCCCTACTCGTCTGGGCGCGGTTGGTGTTTCCAATTTGGTCCGAGGTTGCGCCGCCTTGAGCGTGCGTTTTCGATCCGATTGATCGAGCTTTCTTTTTTAACCTCGCGGGTCTGGCAGAGTGCCGGAGGAGCCCCACCCTTATCCCGCTGCAAGTTCGCCAGCCCACGTGCCGGTTATATCCCGGCTATAAAAGCTCACTTAGCATCAACTTACACGGCAATGTTCCTCGGTGATGGCTGATGGAAAGTCGCCGCTGCGAATCGCAGCATCCATCGACGCCGACGCAGATACACTCCCCGGCGGTCAACTGGCGGGCGTGCGGCTTCAATGAAAGGGGAGAGAAGACTGGGAGATCTGGAGGGATCGATCTCGATCCTCTCGGGCACGGCGAAGCGGCGATGGCTTCGGGGTGCTTCCGGTCGGAACCTTCCGGCTGAGGAACTTCCGCACGATCGTTCGGTGCCAAGTGTTTACAATTCAGGTGAGTCATATTTGCACATCAAGTGTACTCTGCTGCGGGAGGATAATATACGGTAGATATTCGCGATGTGAATATATTCGCAGAGATTTAAAAAACGTTCCACATTTCCGTGGGATTTCATCGGAGCGGCGTAACATCGCACTAAATCGCTGCTTCAATGCGCATTAATGCTTCGTACGTCGATGCTTCGAATTTTATCGGAATTTTATCGAAGATTTCTTCTAGGGCAATTAATTGTTGTCTCACTATAATCTACGCTCCAGTGTGATCCTGACATTTTTCACGCAAGTTTATTAATTTCGCATAACTAACTACGAAACAAAACATATACACATGATTAATAGAGGGAAAACGTCGAAATCGATGTGCGATTCTGTTTTTAGGCTCTAAAACTCCGTTGAAGAGGTAGAATTAAAATTGATAAGCATAGATGCAAAGCGGCAGCATTTTTCTATATATTTAAAATACATAAAAATATATTGTAATTTTTTGAAAGTTATTACATGTTGTTTTGCAAATAAAATACTTTTCTAGAAATTGGAGAAATGACATTCGAAGAATGTATAAAATAAAGCACTGAAATCACATTATTTTGTACATTTATTATCTTTATCTTTGTTACATTTATGTATCTTTATATGTTGTCTTTAATCTTGTACATATTTTTTATTATATGGAAAGGCATCTCCTGAATTTTTCTTTATATCTATCTTTATATCTATCTGAAACAAAGAATAAGAAAAATAAAGGAAAATCCGTTACCAGTAAATTCATATTCCGTGAGATGATATTTCACAAAGTTTAGATATATCGGCAAGATCAGTAAACTTAAAATTTCACTAAAGTAAACCATGTTATTTGATAGAAAAAATAGTATTAAAGGATATAATATCTCGTTTTTAATAAAAAATTTATTTCATTACAGATTAAATATTATTCCATGAAATAAAAAAGTCCTTTAATATTTTTCTAACATAGCGTTATTTCTTTCAAATAATTTATTGTTTGTGATAATCATTATAATGTTTGGATGAAAATACAAACGAAATTATGTTATTTGACGTAAAGATATTTATTGTTTGAGAAATCAAACAATCCTGTTTGTTGAATCAAACATTTGTTTATTCGCTCCGTCCCTAAAGACGAATTTGTTTCAATTCAATTTTATTAAATCCAAGAAAATCTTTTTCCCTATATATGTCAGTTTTGGTGCCCCTATTAATTAGCGAGTCCGTTATAAATATTTTCACACGGCAATAATCGATGTCGCGCGTTATCTCTGCAGAAGTTAATACATTCTTTCTGATACTTCGTAGGCATCCGAAAAGAAGTGCGCCGCTCGCGGAGCTACGTTCTGAAACTCACGGCCGCCGAAGGATCTATCGATCGACAACCTTGCGCGAGATCTACGCGACCGCTCGACGTCTCTCTGCGCTCGACATTAACGATCTGTTACACACCCTATTTGCTTCATTATCGGCCACGCCTCGCGCCGTTTTCGCACAGCCACATGCACAGCGCGGTAGGGGAGAAAGAAAGGGAATAAGTTGGCCGGGAGAAAACAATCCGGCTTTCTTGCTTTATGTCCTCTCCAGATCGATCTCCAAGAATGCCACCGGCTATCCGGTAGCCGACGATCGGTCTCGGTCGTAACTCTGACCCCGCGACAAGACCAGTGATTTATGGCGACAACAAAGACGAATTCACACGCGGGACACGTCGTCTTCGGGTCCTTTTATAAGTGCGTCCGAGTCCGGAAAGCGCGGCCACTACCACGACGTTTTGTCAGATCGCCCGACGTATAGTCGATACGATATGACGGCCTAATTACGCGCAAACTAGTTTGCTTTATCTGAAATTATCATGAAATTCTGATACACATTAAGCATCGCCCATCAAACGCAAAGTACACCGCGGCATTTAATTGTGTAAGGTACGGCTATGTATATTAAAATGAAGCAAAGTCGGTGGTACTTCAGCCATATTACATGAAAACCTATCTACCTCATTAATTATTACGTAGATTTAGTCCTCTATTGTATGCTGTTTAATATTTTACATTCAAGTGAAATATCGCTTAATTTTGTTTTACTCTATATATTTAATAGAAAAAGAACATTCATTTTACGTCATTATTTTGTGCCGTTAAGTTGTGCACTTGAAAACACGAACGTGTATAAAATTTATATAAAATTATAAAAATGTATGGTAAGACGTAAGCTTCTGTGAGTTAATAAAATATCAATTCGTTTAGCGAAAGAACATCATGTTGCTGCTAATTGGAAACATCTGCAGTCCCTATCACGACAATGAAATATCTGTAATCCTGCGGCAATATTGATTGCACAATACCGTATTACGCGAACTTTAGTGGCTCAAGAGCAGATAGGAGCTTTCTCATGACTACATTAACATGTATCAACTTACCGGCTGTGAGCGCTCGGCGACGCGGCTGTTGCGAGGATGCGCGTTGATTCGCGATCAATTATCGTCCACCACCGTCGACGCATAGCAATTAATATCGAGCGCCTATTTGTCGAGTGATATTGCACATTCGTCGTGAATAGATGAGACACAGTCTTCGGCCACGAAAGCGGCCTGTTGCTCGACCCATTTCTTATTCCGTCCGCTTGCAATGGTGGGCGGTCGATTACAAGTGGGTGACCTTTTGGAATTTGTGGGGGTTCGGTGCATTCTCACAATGCAGCCACCGGCGCGATGATGAAATGCGAGATTACGTAGTCGCGTCCCGGCCGAGATGCTCGGGCCACGATTTTCCCATAAGGCTAAGGCCACGCTTAAGTGCCGCTGCCACCGCCGCCGCTCGATATTCGTCCGGAAGGTGTGCTCGCAGCGCGAATAAAACACGGCGGGATGTATCATTTTCCGATAGTGATTTGTTGCGAAAAATCGACGAATACGGAGACATGCAAATCCGAGATTAAACAGCCGCGTGACGGTTCGGTGATTGTAAATCGCACGATAAACTACACACTCGCGTAATAGATATCGTAAATCGCGTTTTATACGGCTTTGCGCAAATCCTGTATAAATTGCTCGCACTAGACGCGCCAACGCTTAAATTTATGTCGACGGATATCTTCTTCGTGTTCGGCTTTTCATCCGAAATTCATGGTCAGGCCTCGCTAGCGCGAAAAAAAATTATGGCCGGGTCTTGTCGCGGTTACGCATATATGCGCTGTTATAATATGCAATCTTAAATGTGTAACCTTAATCAACGTAAGGAGGGATTTATCATAACGGATACCGACGTATCTAAACAACACCAATTTCTAGAAGATATTTTAAGGATGTCCGAGAAACGCCCTATATTTTTTAGACGAAGAGAAATATTTTGCCGGCATAGAAAATTGTTAATTATTACAGGGGTAGGAGAAAAATTTGTTTGAACAACAAAAAGATTTGTTTGAACAGCTGAAAGATTTGTTAAGAGCATTAATTGCTATTTGCCGGATATGTGGACGGCAAAATAATTTGCCGTGATGCCAACAGAATTCTATCGTTGTTACAACGGCGCTTTGCGACAACAGCAAAATTATTTTTTCCGCGTAACAAATCTTTTTGCGGCCCTCATGGTAGCTAAAAATTGTACTGTGTAAGTAAAATATTTTTTCCGTGTAGACACACGGAGAAAAATTAATTTTCTGTTGCAGCTACCATCATTGCTACTGCATATTCGTTGCTACGGCGATAAAATTTAATTGGCGTAAACGAATTAGCGAATTATTCGTAATTAGAATAGAAACCATTTTGTCGCCAAGGTAGAAAATATTCTGCTGAGTGAATTTGTTTTAGGACACGTTGGTTTGCCGTCAGAACAAGATAGCGTTTTCCTACATTTACTAATTTCTTACTACAGCGAAATAGTTTGTATATTCGCCAAAATAATCCAGCGAATGGCAATTGGTATTCTCAACAAATAGTTTCGCCATCGGTATAGTAAGTGACAGATTTCGTTGCGACAGCATGAAATTTGCTGTGCCAGCCAATTATTTTTCTCCGTGCGTCTTCCAGACGTCTTCGGGAACGTCTTTTAGAAGCTTGTCTGGGTGTTGACGTATTCCGTGTATACGTGTAATTTCGACGCGCCCCAACTTTCAGTTTGGTTTCGTAATATCAATTACGTTACTCGGTTTATGTTTCACTCATCAGCGCTGAGTCTTGAGAAGCGGCATGGTGGACTTTTAAACTTGCCCTAACATCTCGCCGACAGTTTCGCTGTCTGTATAGCTCTCACTGACCACATGGCTCGTCATGTTCAGCTCACGAGTCGCGGACCACGTCCGCCGCAAGACACGCTCGTGACGACCTTACCCTTTGCTGTAACGAGCGTTACGTATTGCATTAAGGCACGTGTTCGGATTCAGGCCTGGCCGGTTGCAGCTCCTTGCATTTAGCGATCATTTACTCCACGGACACCGCGAGAGAGATCCGTATCGAGCGATATGAGTCGTTCCGCCGGCAATGATCACACCGTCGCAACGCGGCCCGAAACGAGCACGTTTCGGCCTCGCTTTAACGAAGCGCGGACGAGACGGTCGCTTCATACTTCATACTACTGTTTCCACATTTTTTACGCTGGAAAATCGCGAGGAAACGAGAGGCGGAAGCGCGACGAGGCGAGAGGGAGTTTCGGGTTTCGCGCCATGATTAAACGAGCAGTTTGGATGGAACGAAATTGATCGTGAGCGAAGAGTTCGGCGGAAAGAAGGCTACTACACGTAGCGACGATTCGTGTCAAATATAATGTTTATTGTGTTAAGATTAAAGTAAAATAAAGTTGGATCGGTGCATCGAGAGAGAGAGATAGACAGAGAGCATCAGAATGCGGAGCTCGAGATGAATATTAAAGCGTATGCATGATCTTATCTTCTTTCATAGCACAACTTACAGAAGTATATTTCGGCTCTCTACGAAAGTACGAAAGCGCGAATTCCCGTGCGCTCGAAGTTAGCTCGCAATTTCGTATCGTATACTTTCCGCGCCATGAAACTCGAGCGGCGATGATTCGCTTAAGTGGCAAACAATTATTCAAAACTTCACTCCGCCCGACACGATCGCGCCGCCGCTGCCTTTGTAATCGTTGCTTTCATCACCGCTTAATACGGGACCCGCGCCGATAATCGTCGGGTTAGCGTTGGGTTAGCTAATTAGCCCCTGCCACGGTAATTCGCGTGAGATAATTGCCTCGCGCGATTCGGCGCACGGGGAAGGTATTCTCGGCACGACGTTGCGCGGCCGGGAGAATTTCGGAAGAGTCCTAACCGAAGCTCGATTCTCTCTCCCGCAATCTTACACACCCGGGGATTCGAACGATTCGCGAGAATGCGCTTATAAAACCCGCCCGGAGAATCTGCCCTCCGAAGCGCGTGGGAGGATACAATGTAGCAACGCACCCGCACGCAGGGTGCAAGAATTCGATATACACACCGATCTACTACACACGAGAGATCGAAACCCGGTAACCCGCGATGCGCCGAGCGTAACATGTTACTCCCGGACATCTCACATTGTGCGTACGAGCTTCTCTCGAGGAAGAGCGAATTTATTACATTCATACACCGAAGACATGCCATAAGTATTCACGCGAAACGAGAGTATCAAGTGCGACGGGCGTCGTCGTGTGAGAGGGGAGGGGTACTTACGGTAACTTCACGGTATCTGCGATACCTTTAACGTTATCTTTCTAAAGTTAGAAACGCGCCGAAGGGGAGCGATATTCTTACTTTAGGTCCGGCGGTGATTTAAAGAGGCGACTCTTTCTTCTCGCTTTTTTTTTTTCTTTTTTCTCGCAGACGATTGCGCGCGCGCGTTTACCAGTGACCGTGACCGTGGCCGCCGAATCCGGCTTGGACCGCAGCGCCGTAACCGCTTCCGTGAGCCGTGATCTTTCCGGAAGGTCCGGCAATCACGACCGAACCGGCGTGCGGTCCAGAAACAGCCGCGCTTCCGGCGTGAGGTCCGGCCAGGACCGCTCCGTGGCTGGCCGGTCCGGCTACGACTACTCCGTGTCCTCCGTGACCACCGCCGTATCCCGCGTAACCGTAAGCAGGACCACCAGCATATCCTCCGTAGCCCCCTCCGTAGCCTCCTACACCTAACGGAAGAAAATAAACGCTAGAGTGGCCGGAATTACTCGGTGTGTCTCTACTTTATAATTGAAACAACGCGCTCGTGTGCAAGTACATACGGCGAGAAATTTTAACGAGCATCCACATACGCACAAAGTGATAATGTTTCTAAATTAAGAATAGATATATAAGCAAGAATATTATAATATTCCTAGAAGATTATAATATTCTTATATATGAGAATATCTGTTCTTAACTTGAGACTTTGTTTTTTTTGTGTATTTATTCATTGGACATATTTTATTGTCGGAGGATAATTCTGCGAACAGTTTCATCATCACTCACCGGCGCCACCTCCGTAGTAATCACCACCTCCGTAGGCACCTCCGTCGTACGGGCCGCCTTCAACGTGCGCTGGACCGGCGACTGATGCAGTCACGACAGCTGGACCAGCAACGGCGCCCGAAACGTGAACAGGCCCAGCTACAGATCCAGCCAAACGAGATGGGCCTATCGATGGCCCGGAAACGGCAGAAGCGCCTACGTGTGGACCAGCGACGCTCGTCGCTCCCAACACTGGACCAGCGAGGGCTACCCCGTGTCCGTGTCCGCCATACCCTACGCCTCCATAACCTCCATAAGCTCCGTGACCTCCGTAACCTCCACTATATCCACCATATCCACCATAACCGTGACCGGCAAAGACTGCTTCTCGTCGTTCGCGAGGTGCAGCAGCGGCAAAGGCGCACAGAGCAAACGAGATGAACTGAAGCGGAATAATCACCATTTCAGGTGAGACATTCTCTATTTGAAACTCAGAATTTTATCCGTTGCTGTTTGAAAATTGAAGATTTTCTTTTTGGGAAAAATGGCTTGCGATATTTGTGCTTCGAAGCAACGCTTGTTAAAGTACATAGTCCGTAAATTACTTTTTTTAAGAACCGTTTTATATTTCAACGGCATATTAATCGAAATATTAGTCGAAACATCTATCTATACGCATGTAAAATTAGAAAAAGATCGACCATTCCAAAGCTGAGATAATTGAAGTCAAAGTTAGCATTATTTACATGTATCATAGGTACAAAAACGGCTCCCGATATCATGTTTTTAATTCTAACGAGCAAATTATTCTTATGGTTTTAATGAAAAATATAAAGACGATAAAAGTGACTTGCAGAAATATCATTAAAAAATTACAAGATCTTTAACCATCTATCTTTTCAGAAATTAATACGTGAAATACATAATTTCTGATAAAGGTTGAAATATGTGACAATTAACTTATCAAGATTTGGTACAATATTGTACGCGCTATATTATCCTTTATGCTTTTCTTAATTAGGCATTTTTTAAAAATATAATGGTTAAGTAATATTAAAGATTTATAATCGATACGTGAAAATGCGAAAAATATAGAGAAATACGAAAAAAATTCTACCATTTTTTTCTTAACTTGCATTTGTGTACGTTTATTGGTACATATATTCACAAACATGTGCCTAACATGGTCAGTTTTAGACAAAAATATTACATACCAATGCCAGAAAACGATTACCTTTCTATGAATTTGTAAGCATTATATTTGATTGACATTCTCTTACTATATATTGTATAAATTATGTTTATAAATATTTAGCACAGATTTGTCAAGCTTTTTCGTGCTATATTAATTATTACTTTTAACAATATTGTCACGAACCAACTATCTTAAGCAGCAAACAATTACGAAACTCGCGCGCCTGCTCGATTTTAATTCTCAATAGTCGCAATAAATGTCTCCGATCTCTTAACGGGAATGGTGCTGCACACTAAGGTCTACGTTTTTGTCACTTTAGCTCACCCTATCAGCTCGTTAATAGAACAGCGAGCCGACTGTCACGTCAATTGTTCGGCTAACAAAAGAAAGAAAGGTAGGAGCGCGCACTTCCGATCGTTGAAACGAATACTTACGAGGGTCTTCATCGTGCCGAACGGCGATTGCTCGAATGTGCCTACGGCCGACTTCGGCGGACTTTATATACGTCTCTAGGATCTCCGACCGCGCCCCCGCTGATCCCTTCAAATCATATCCGTTGACGATGTAGTCTCTCGTTCATTGTGTAAGAAGGTCACTATCCGACACACCCACCCTTTGGACCTGGACCCCTTGCGCGACCTTCGAACTCTTAGCTTAGAAATTTCAGAAACAGCCTCCTTTGTTTGAATCGTGCGACGACCTAGACTCTCAGACTAACATCATATGCGTAATCTTGGGCGTATCTCCCATTTTTTAATAGACATTTTAAGATTGGATTTGGAACCTGTTTCTTGTTTATTTCATCATTTAATAACAAACGAACGTAACAACTGAAGAACGTTTAAATTATTTTTTCCTATGGAACAAGATTTTCGAAAGAGTACACTTAATTATCCTGAGTGAACCTAATTATCTTTGTTAGTTTGAAAGAAAAACTGCGGAAGATTTTTACTTTCTCTTTCCTCGCGAAAGTTTCTGCAGTGGTTCTTTTCAGTCTTCCCCGTCGTCCTCGAAAGTTAAGTCGCCAAGGAAGTGCAGCAGACGCTGTCAGAGTAAACATTTTATTACAACGAGATCTCGTATTTTTTACTGCAATCGCATTTTTTACGGTCGTCTATATGCAATCGTTACGATATACGTGTAACCTAGTTTGTCCTTTGGAGTCATGCTCGTCTGCAATGGAATCTCGTACATTGTGCAAGATCAGCGTTTGACACACCCACCCTCGGTCGCAGCTCATCGAACGACTTCCATGGACGAAACCCTAAAGGAAAAAGTTTAAATAAGTTCACCCGGTGGGTCGAAAAATGATTTCTCTCGTGTAAAATTCTACAAATTTCCATCTCTGACTTCCATCTGATGGTAATTAGTGGCGCAACTTAGGTTTCAGGAGGCATTGAGTATCATATATCAATTTTTCATAAACGCATTGCGTTTCGAAAAGAAAAAGTGTACAAAGTATCCTAAGGTCATCTATTATTTTCTATTAAGGTGATAACAATGTGTAAATAAATACAAAACAACTTTTTTTCGCACAATTTTTCTAACACATTATGTATCATAATGTGATAAAAAAAAATATATATNATATATATATATATATATATATATATATAACATAATATATATTATATGTAAATATTCAATATACTCATATTTTATGAAATTGATAATCTCTCTCCGTGCATTCTCATTTATTTTAATGGGCTATGTTTTATTAGGCAACAAAGATATCGATAATAACTACGTTTCATTGCAATTATATTACATTAAATATATATAATTATATTACATTGAAAATGAATCACACTCTATGGAACGGTAATTATATACATTTATTTATCCTCGTTCCACAGCATTCACGAACGTTGCATAATCGCGTCGTTGAGAACAAAGATACGCCTTACATCATCTCTTGCAACAAATCGCTTTCAATCACAGAAAGTGAGTAATTTTCATCGAATCGAGAGTAATGAACTTCTTTGGAGTAGCCGGCTACTTGGATTTTGAATCTGAATTGCGTGACCACGGACGATTGAGTCATTCGGGAGAAGGGCGCATTGAACCTATAATCCCGAAGATCACAGGTCGTAAATGGGCTATCTTGAAAAAAAAATACTAATTGGTATTTCGGTGGTAAATATGGAATTAAAACACTTTTCTATGAATAATGACGATTAACGCGTTAGAATCGACAAAATGTAAATGTAACAAGATATAGAGAACTGAGATTACGTTTGCCCGTATGTCACGTGTACATCATCTTAAATATTTAGTAACGTTATATGATGTACGCAGATATGCGTGTAGAATTTGAAGCAACGTCGAAGTACATTCAATTTCACGCGTTGATCCATACACATCGATGGTTGTGAGAATATGACATATTACGAGATCATAGGTCACGATCATATAGGCGTTAAATACATATCTCGATCGTGCGATAAAATATATTGTAATTTATTATGTCATGTAGCGTAGTTTACATGACATAAAGAAAGGGAGAGAGAGAGAGAGAGAGAGAAAGGTTGAGCATATTAAAAATTATGTAGGATAAAAATTTAACGAAGTCGTTAAATGTTCAACGAACTTACCGAATATTTTTTAATGAGCCGGGTTTTCGTCGCAAGTTTTACCTTTTAATCGAAGTTAACTTTTAATAATGCTTCATGTTGCCCACGATATTGCACCTTACTGGTGAAGAAATAATTATTTGAAATAAGTACTTAAAATACGACGCAATGCGTACTATTTCTTATAATTGCAGCTGTTTGTCGTATAACGAAGTTCTAGGTTACAATTTATACGGCTTGCAAGGTGAATCGATGCAGACGTCGAGAGCACACTGGCTGAGAAAGAGCCACGTTCTCAGGAATTAATGTGCTTTTCAATGTGATATATAACCGATGAGGTAAACCGGCATCGCGCATTCGACCTTTATGGGCGCGATGAAAGCTGCGATCTTAAATGCTCCAATTTCACATGAATATCGCGTTTCTAACGATAACTCCGAGATACCATGAGAATTTCTGCACACAAAGTTTTTGTGGAAAAATGTATTTTGAATACAAGGAATCTTCTCCAATTTTACAGCTTTATTTTAATATATTATTATTTTCACACAAGTATTTACTTACGTCATTAATCATTATTCATAACACAAAATAAATTAAATTTTATTTAAAGAACGTTAGGTGAAATAGACAGATTTTGTTCCCCGAAATAAAAACGGTATACTTTTTGTAATTTTTGAAGTTTTTATAGTTTTAAACCGCTGAATCTGACTTTGATCTTAAAAAAAAATTAGATATATATATTTGTCTTAATTTTACGTGTTCAAAATTGACATTTATTACTTAGATAATTAAATAAAGTTACAGGAAAGTCTTTGTCTAGTAAATAATAAATTTATGAAAGGCTCCTTAATATCATCACTGGAAATTCAATATTTCACGGACCACCTTAAAAGCATTTGGCAATTCGATACGAGTCATTAAACTAATGCACGGATAAATTCTCAAAGTTCGTATGGGAAGATACGCATGCGGACTAGGTAAAGAGCTGCTTTGAATGCACGGGTAGACGGACGAGAGGTAAACGCGCGCGCATCCGTGAAAGAAATCGGAAATTTGACCTTTGAGTGTGATCTATTCTGCTTTAGTTGCATTAAAGCGCTACGTGTCTGTAAATGTTTCGCGAAACGCTGCGCCGCCGTACGACTTTATCCGCAGCATCACGTTCTGAAAATTCGTACCCATGTGAAGCGATTGAAGAAGGAACAGTGCCCCGCCGCAATTGAGCGTGATCAATGCTAATGGTGAGACTGACATTTGCAGTCATTGTCCATAGTGCAACACAGATGCAATGCATCGCAATGTTTATGGGAGCATGCAACCTACTCGGCGATCTGTGTGAGACCATGGGAAGTGCAAGATGCTGCCGTAAAGTTTCTCAAAAAGATGAAAAGGAAAACCTTTGTGCCATGAATATTCTTCTTCGTGAAATTCTGACATTTCTCGAAATTGTCTTTCATCTTAAAAAAGAAAATCTTATTTATCTCCACAATCTCCGTGGCTCTTTTTGTTGATACAATATACAACTATAAGGGCTGCGATATATCTGGCGAAACCTCCTTTGAGAGCGTGAGGTAACCTTGACCGTAAAAATGGAATAACCTCATACCGTAAATAAATTCTTCTGGGAACTTGTGCAGTAATCGCACACCCCCGGGAGTGAAAGGACTGTGCCTCTCCGTATCCGGTATTCTGATAGGCTTCCATCTCCACTAATTATTCCCTAGCGGGTTACGAAAGGTACGTCTTCTATGACACAACTTACGATTCTTCGCAAGAGATATCACAATATCGCCTGTGCCCTTCTTCTCTCCGTTTGCACACAAACAGAATTTTGTGGAGCGTCGACGTTTGATTTTGTTCGTCTCATATTTGAGAACAATATTCACACATAGATGTCTGAGCCGTTTGTTAAGATACCTATTTTGATAAATCGAAATTTTTCTTTTGCGACAAAGTTTATATTATTTATAAGGAAATATTAGTTTGTTTTTGAATGAATCGTTGACTTATTTACGCATATATTCACGACTTAGTTTCTTATGACGTAGCTCCTCCGTTAGAATTATTGAATAGTATTCATTAATAATTCAGAAACTTGACGCCGAGCAGCTACATCTAAATTGCTTAAAGAAGGCAAATGTGATAAATCTTCAAAAGGAAGTGCTCCTGTCAGGCAAGAAAATACTCATGCAAAACATTCTTCCTATTTTTCAAATGACGAACCTACAGATTTGTTACTCCATTTAATCTTCATATCTATGGACGGACATTGTTATTTTCAATACCAACGAATTTGTTATCCAAAGTAGTGTCACCAGATATTGCATTTGTATTTGTAATTATTGGGTTGATGAAAAGTTCATTTTGTTGTTTAATCAGTTCTTTGTTCAGAAATACCAGAGTCTCTATGGACTCGGTATTATGTAGCTACCAAAGAGATAGCAGGTCGAACAAAATGGTGCAATTAAATATTTAATTGATCGGTTATATGTTAAAATGAATGTATATCTTGATTATATAAAAAACGGATCGAATTTTTGTAACAATCCAATAATTCTATTTCTAGTTGTCACGCAACGATAAGTTATAAACGGTTTCCGATTGATAGAGCACTGTGATAAATGAAAATTTTACGATTTTACGGTATAAAAATATCAATTTGAAATCCACGATGATTTGATTCTTGGATTTTATATCCGGATATCCGCTTCAGGGACCAAAGTGTTTCAACTTCAAGAAAATATGACTTTTTCGGATGTCAGCCATCGGAGAATCGGCGAAACGCACTATTTCTGTTTTGTGGAAAAGAAGTAAAGAGTGGGAATGGGTCGGGATAAAAAAGAGACGTGAGCATCCGCGTTTCATGTTCTCTGCCACATCACCAGTCAGTGCTCCCGCTGCCGAAGAGGTTCCATTCGACTGGGGGCTTAGCACACATCTATGGCTTTTTATTTTATTTGTGGTCCGTTGCAGAAACGTAAAAGCACCGTCCACCATGCTCAGCGTATTCGGGAAAGATTTACAACCCTTTTATAGGTGCTCAGGAGAGAATCAGCCACAAATCCGACAAAGCACTGTCGCTTCGTTTTTTGATATGCAAAATATGAGAGAATACATACGATACACCGCAATCCAAACAGACGTTCCTTTACAGGCGCAAGAACAATTCCCTATTCTGCTATTTCAGCTCTTATCATATCCCAATTATCATATTCATCTCGCAAAAGAGAGATCGTTTCCTGTGCTTAAGCGAGTATTATCCGTTTTCGATACCGGAGACCAGCACGAATCCCTTTGTGATTAAATTTCATATAATTAGCATTGTTATAATATCCGTCTATATCAAAGCTAATCATCCACGAGACTCGCTGGCAGCGATCCATCGGAATAACGAAGCTTATGTTGCAGTAACTCTACGCCCAACTTTATAGTCTAACAAACGGATATTATACACAAAGTGGTAATATCACTGAAGAAGGAATAATAATTTGTAATTATATCTATTTCACGCTTGTCTGGAAAAATAAGAGAATTTTCCGTTATACGATTATTTGACTTTCCTTCATTAATTATATATATCTTGTGAATGTAAAAAATTATTTTTTCACATATTAATTAGAAGTCTAATATTTACAATTGTTAAGCTTCTGCGCTTTCCGGAAGAATTGTATCGGGTGGGCGAGGAGGGTCAGATTTAAAGTGTAGAATTGACCTTAGTCCTATTTTAAGTTATTATTCACGAAAATGTGCATTATTTGTACGATTCAGTACTAAATCGAAGCACAACAAAATTGGTTTAAGACGATTAAGTGACTAATTATTATACGTAATTATTCGAAATCTCCCGCTCTTCTACTATTATCCTCTTTGCCGACAACGATTAATGCAGTTGCTTGGTATTGGTTCCTGTTACACTTCCTTTCCTCGTTCGACTAATCCAATATCTCGAATTAATCCAACTGGTCGGCTCGCAAACTGAAATCCAATAACTCATATACGTTAGACAGATGATCCGTTACCGAATATTAACATTCATAACTTCTGGAGAATTCACGCAAATTCCGTGTCACTGATATGTATAAATACTTATCAATTTTCTCCAATGTTAACTGCAGTTATTATCGATATTGTAAAAAAACTAAAATAATATTGTGGATTTTTAAGGATATATCGAATTAATAACTCAAAAAGTTGTGTATTATTTGCAAAATGATAAAGTATTTTTTGTTCAGTGTGACCTAATCCGCAAGTGTGAAAGAACATTGAAAGAACTATCTTTCAAACGACTATCGTAAAATTTGCAGACAGATGACGCATATAGTATTTCTGTAACAGTCATTCAAAAATCTTTTGAGATTTCCGTATATAATTTTTATTGACTATTTGTAGCATAGAAAAATAACAAGAGGCCAGTATTATGCATCATTATTGGATCGTTTAAATTTTTTCATTATTTTGACTTATATCTTTAATGATAATTATAAATCGCCAATCTTTATATATATTTATATTTTGAAGCTTGTGAAAATGAGAGAAATTGAGATAATAAAATATGAAATCGAGGAATATTATTTTTTATTGCAACGTATGCTGACTCTCGACAGCGAATAAACTGTTTTGCCTATTTTCTAGCATTTACTTCTCGGTGAATACAAATGGAACGATCGAGCGTTTACTAGCAGATAAATAGTACGTATTCTGGTCTTCAAGATGGCAGGGAGTGGCGAGCGCGAGAGTAGGTACGAATAGACAAGCGTAAGTTTTTTAAATACTGATGCTTTATTTTATATAAAGTATTGTATAAATGTATAAACGGCTCTCTATATATATAAATATGTGGTATCTATCTATGGTGGTGGTGGGGTGCTAGTCGTGATCGCAAAGAAAGGGTATGACGAGGGCGGGCGGGGTCGGGGGCCGGCGGCGGCGCGCCNNNNGGGGTCGGGGGCCGGCGGCGGCGCGCCGTCTATGTACATTCATTCACTCACGAGAAAGGCTGACCTACCATAATCTACCGGTCTCTCCTTTTCACTAACATATAACACGATTATATAATATATGTGTATTTGTGTGTATATATACGAGTACACATATAGCAATATAGTGTATGTGTGTGTGCGCGCGTGTGGCAATGTGTTCATATATATATATATGCGCGAAGGTAATAGTAATAGTATGTATACATATATATATATAAAAAGAAGACATATGCGCATGGACGAGTATGTAATAATAATATGTATGCTTGGGGGTGCGGCGGTAAGTATAACAACATGTGGGAGGGACGCGACTGTCGACGCGACCCGACCCGTGGAAAAAGAGAGAAGTAGTAATATGTGCGTGAAGAGCGGCGGCCTTACGGATGGTGGAAGACGTAAGAGAAGAAGAAGGTTTAGCCGGAGCAACGGTAAGTGTTCAGAAAACAGAACAGATCCAGTTGGTCCGACGACGAAGTGCCAAAGCTTGTCCACTGGCTAGGTCCATGGCCCGGTGTGTGACGCGTGGGTGTGCACGCGGGTGGCTCGGTTGTGTGTGACTCGGGCGGGTGGTAGTGCGACGGTATCCAAGAGAGACGCGACGTTCGCCGATCGCGGGCGGCAGCGCGCCGGGAAGCGACGAGGTGTTCGGAAGGTCGTCAACCGAGATCGGTAACTCGCGGCTCGAGTCGATTTCCCTCTATCGTCGGTCGATGAACGGAAATTGACTAAATTTTACCCGAGTCGCGCACGACTGCTAACGGACACCCGGGTTGATAACAAGGAGAAAACGACGCGAGAAGTCGCGGATCACGAGAATGGCCCGTACCTCGGGTGTCGTCCCCGACGATCTTATCTGACCCGACCCACGACGCGTCCGTACGACGTTCCGAGCGTCTGCTGATCATATCACTGGCGTCGGCCACCCCGACCATGTTCCGAGACTGGACGAAGCTTTGGGAAGAAGACGTTGAGCGCGTTTGAGGATCGTTCGAGACCGGTAAGTGACTGTGGTGGGTTTGCCGCCGTCGCCGAGCCGAGATCGCTGGGGTCTTAAAACGTCTACCACTTGGCGGGGATGACAGCTCCGTGAGCGCCGAGTCCGGCATGGATGGCGCCAGATGGTCCGTTGATCACAGCAACTCCGGCATCACCACCACCGAGGGCACCACCGATTCCGCCACCACCTCCTCCGATGACAGCAATGCCAGCACCTCCGAAGCCACCTCCGAAGCCACCTCCGAATCCACCTCCAGCTCCGAATCCACCTTGAAGAGAAGAATTACCGTTAGCTGAGATGCTCGGTCTTAGCGATGTGTAATATCTCGATGATTCATCCGATCGGGAACGTACCACCGGGCGCGGCGTTGGCAGCAGCACCGGAGCTTCCATCGTCACCGTTGATGCCACCAGCACCAGCGTAGAAGGCGACACCTCCGTAGCTAGGTCCGACGAGGTTAGCGGTAGCCTGGGAAGGTCCAACGAGGGTGGCGGTTCCCTGAGACGGTCCAACGAGGGTGGATGGGCCTTGAGCGGGTCCTACAAGGCTGGACGGTCCAGTGCGAGGTCCACCAACGGACTTGGCGCCTTCTTGCGGTCCTACGAGATCAGACGGGCCGGTCTGCGGTCCAACGTTGGCCTTGGGTCCCTCAGCGGGTCCGATGTCGGACCTGCCACCAACGACTCCTGCGGGAAGAGCGGGGGATTAGCGGCCGACCCCGTCGAAGCGCTGAAATTTCAGAGTCGCGGCTACGCACCACCAGAGACGATCTGCTGAACTCCAGCGGAGCCAGCCGCCGCCGCGGCACCAGCGGCATAGCTGGCACCGAGACCGCCGGATCCCAAGCTGGAGGCACCACCCTGGAGGGAGGCAGCGGTGCCAGCGCCAAGACCGAGTCCACCGCTAAGACCGTGACCGCCGTTGAGTCCGTGTCCAGTGATGGCGATTCCGTGACCACCATAGCCGTGACCGCCGTATCCACCGGCGATACCGGCACGAGCCGTCGCCACCGCTAAGCAGACGAACACAATCTGCGAGGGATACGGAAAACGGTCGGTGAAACAGCCGAGAACTCGATAAGTTGCGTGAACTCGCTCCTTGCTTTACGGAAGCGTTGCGTGCGAGCTATCGCTGTTACGGATCTGGATTTCCATTGGCTTGCCGCCGATTACCAGCATAACCGCCGCTTTCACTTTCGATTTCCGCGAGCGCCGGCTCGATCGAGAAGTCCGAAACAACCCGCACGGAGAGAAGTCTCTGTATCCAGCGCGATGGTCTGGAGAAGCCCTCGCGGGGCGGTTTCGCAATCAGCGTGATAGCCCCCTCCGCCCTCCACTCCTAATGACCGTATTAGGAAAAGAAACTCTTCCAGGATGCCCGCTAATAGGCGAATGTGCGTTCCTAAGTTGCAACGCGCGTCGGACCGTAGAAAAAGCAGTCGATTGCATAAAATCCGCGCGAACGAGTCGACCGCGTTGCGACGAGATTCGTAATTAATCGGTAACCGGGCGAATCGTTTCCGAAATTAAGCCACGCTGGGATCTCGTCGAATTTGTCGAAGAAAAATATCGAATATTCCCAGGCGAGCGCATTAATCGGGAAAATCTCTCAATACGACCGGAGATGATCCGCAATTGTTGCGAGAAGAGTGTGGAGAAGCGCGGCGGTTCGATACCGGCGGCGATATCGGCGCGTTACGTCACGAGAGATACGCGCGCAGTCGGCCGCGGCTCGTAATATGGGAAGTGGCTGGTTTAGAAAGGAAGTGTTTCATGCGCGCGGCCGTAGACCCGAGCGATCGGTTGATTAGGTGTATCGACGCCGTGCTGCGCCGGTGCCGCGACGTAACCGCTTATTTTTCGTTCGCGTGCGAACGCCATTAGACTCTCTCGGTGCATGTGTCACGCCCGGTTTGAGAAGTTGCGACCGCCTAAATGGCACCGCCGGCCTGGAATTATGCATATCTAACGACTGCGAGCGAAACTTTCACATCCCGTTTACGCGGAACGTACGCGGAGCGAACGAGCGAGAGCAGACTGACTATCGCGGCGCGCATTCGTGTGACGTGGTCGACCGCGCGTTCCCGCGACCTCGCGTTCGGAAAAGGATCGATCGCGCCGATTTCAAAATCGCGAGCCGCGAGCGCCGAGAGCGCTCGACATTTGCCAAGACTTCGCGAGGCTCTACTATCTCTTTCCGTCGTGGCGATGGGAAAATCCTTATTCGTAACCGATATTCGCGTCTCGGAAAGCCCGAGACCGTGTTATGCGGAGTATAACGGCGCTGGCGGACGGACGGTTGAAGACGAACGACAGGGAAAGTCGAGGAATGCGCGGCCGAGCTTAGACGTGGTGCGTGCGACGAGCGCGCTCGGCGGATCCGTGAATGAAGATGCGTCGGAAGTAGAACCGGTCGCGAGTTACTCCGTTTACTCAATGATGATACTACTGTAACCGGTTCCGCCGAGAACGGTCGGCGCGCGATGTGTGAGATTTCTCGATTCATGAATGAAAGTCGGTAAGGAGGACGGTGCCGGTTAGGTCTGTTTGTGCGTCTGTCTGTCTGCTCGACTGCCTGTCTATCCCGAGAGAAACAATGAGAGCAGTCGAGCCGTGACATTGAATTCATCATCGGTCGCATCGCGGAGCGAGAAAGAAAGAAGGCGGAATGGAAACCGTGACGACGGGGATAGGCGTGAACCGAGAGCTTTCGGGAGCTTGCGAGACGGCCGTTCTCACGGATACTCCCGTGTAATCGAAATGTAATCTTGCATCGAGCGTTTCTTGTTTAGTTTCAATTAAGAAGCGTCAGAAGGACAATTCAAAGGACGCGGAAGCGAAGTCTCGCGGCGGCTGCGGCAAAGATTTCAGACTAGACTTGAGAGTAATGTCGTTAAAGACACTCGAGGTAGTTTCCAGTTCCGAGGAAGCGACACTGTTTATTCGCCGATTACGACGGGAAGTCAAAAGCGAAGCGGGAGACAAGTGTTCGCGATCGAGAGACTGTCGACTTGGAAAAGGATGCGCGTTAATACCGGAGAAATGTTCGTATTGGACAAAGTCGCGAGCAGAACAGAGAGAGAGAGAGAGAGATCTCCGTGTGCAAAATCGGGCAAAATCTAATAGAGTCCGAAAAAAGCGGAGTCTACCGCGAGATATACTGGGTAGTTCGGCACGACTCGCTAACACCTCACCAACCCCGGTGCGGAATACTCACAAAGGCCTTCATGTTTGGTGTGTGTATTGTGGGCTGGTAGTCCGGTGAATGACTGACTTGGGCCGGGCCGGCGGGCCTTATATACGCCTAACTCTACTCTGGACACGCTCCACAATCACCATCCTTTCGAAAGCAAGGCGCTCCACCACCCTCCCCCCAGAAAAACTATAATCCACGGCGGCGTACCGAGCGGTCGACGCGGTAGTCCCACCACCCGTTTGAGGGCGAAGGGGGGTCCCCCCTTTACGGGCCGATATAGAGGTTGCCGTTGTAGGTTGTTCGCGAGTATTCGTCGGCTATGTCCACGTCTAATGGCCGAGAGAGCAGCCTCCTACTCCTCCCGCCCCACCAGCCGTGTAGCCTACACGCTCGACTTCTGCGCGACGGGCCACACCAAGTGCAACCGCGAGCACCACCCGGGTTACCTGGTCACCTACGATATTACTCTCTCGCAGGCGTGGTGCGAGCACGGCTCACGCTGTGCAGCGATCGCTCCTTCCCGGTCACGGTAGACGGCGCAGGTGCAGCGCGAACAACGGCTACGGTAGCGTCGGGTGATGATCACTCTGTTAATTGGCCAGCTCTTCGCCGGTGATGCATCATTCTCGCGGATGGCTTTTACGCGATATGGAGAGAGAGAGAGAGAGACGTGCGCCCAAAAACGCCGGTGAAATTTCCGGCTGATTCTGCCGACGACCCCTGACCTTTCGTCGATGTCCTCCCTCTTTTGTTTCACTCATGTCTAGCTAATGATAATGAAAAGTAGACTTCCGAAAGAAGCGCGGGATCAAGTAGAACCTTCGGGAACTTGGCTCGGAGCTATTATGGGCTGTTCTCGGAACTTCGGATGCTGAAGAAAGCCGAAGAGGCGGTTTGATGGAGAGTCACGGTGGAAAATGACACGCTGACCCTTCGGGGCCGAACGACGCGCTCGTTTTAAGATGGCCGCTTTTGAATTCGCGAACTTTTTTTACGTCCATTTGTGAATGCAGAATGTTTCCCATGGAAAAAGGCAGGAAAGCGCGATGTTCGAATGGCCGAGAGTTTTTATTATTCATGAAAAACCGCGATCCGTGCACGTTGCGCGAACAATAAAAATCACGGATAACTCTCGAAGCTTGCGTTCGCACGCGGAGCGGCCATCGCACGAAAAGTTCGTCTGTCGTGCTTGAAAGAAAGCAAAAAAAAGGAAAGGGAAGAAAAAAGATATGAAAAAGAAAAAAAAAGACAGGGGAGGAGATCCGAGAATGGTGAGGCATGGTCCTGATTATGGCCCGCTCGTTACGTGGAAACGAGGCACTCGCATCGAAAAGGAGTTTCACGTTTGGCGCAAACGCGAAACGTTCTAAAGAGTTGGAATTACGGGTTGCTGAATGGCCTTAAGAGACCTGAATTCTTTTCTAAATAGATTGCCTGCCGCCGCTGCCGCCGTCGCTTGTTACTTATTACCTCAACCTACTAATTCGAACTGCTGCAGTGCATTATGCTGGAAGCTGGAAACAAGATGGAAACACAGCCTGAAGGGTCCGCCCGCTGTCGTGAGCGATTTGAATTATGATCGCCGTTTGTATCCGGAGTGATACTTGATGATCCAGCGGGTTGGATCATTTCGGAATTGCACCGTATCATTGCGGCCGTTAATGCAAACATTCTGAAAGCATCGTTTCACAGACGGCTACTGCACAGTAAATATCATTATATGTTAAAATCGGTTCTTATTAAAAAGATTTCGTATTGGATTTTTAATATATTTATACGTTAATTTAATATATTATGTTTATATCATCTCAACATTTTATGTTTTCTTCATATTCAACATGTGTAAGTATTAAGATAACACATTTGATATATTTCAATGTCGATTAATGTGTTATGTAATTTTTCATCAATTTTTATATAATATTTGTACCACTTTTCAATATATTTATTTTGTGTTAAATTAATACAAAAATTTGAGTGGACTGCTCGGGACATGTGAAATATTTTAAATTTAATATAAAATTTTTTACCGTGTGGCGTCGATTTTGATCTCGCTCATCGTCGCAACGCACGTGCCGGAGTTATCGATGTATTAATTATAGTAATTGGTATAGACGTACACACACGAGTGTTATATTATTTTTAAGTGAAAGTGTGCTAAATAAGCAACAGCATTAAATGAAAATAAACATATATATTGCGTTCATGGGAATACGTGGTATTTGCGATGCTGCAAATTGCTCCGATTTATGCATAATCGACGCGCCCCGATCTCTTCTTTAGAAATGATTGCATAAGTTTCCGCAACTCCGCGCGCAAGAGTCGAACGACGCTCGGTTGCGAGCATCTCAACTTCAACGGTATCGAGTGCAATGTGTCGAAATATGTACGTTGCAACCTAATTATACATCCGATTAATTAGCTCTCGTTTGCCGCGCGATGCCCGTTTAACGCGACTTTTCCGGCCCGCGAAGTGAAAGCCATTATATTATTTGGCGCCCGCGAAAAATGTCGATCTATCGCGAAAGTCGCCCGCACATATCTCTCCTCGCTGGTGCTCGGCAGCCCTGACCGGTTTCGAATATATAAACCGAATGCGGGCAGTTGCTGTTGGCTGTTTTCGGTCTGGCTCACCCTCGAACGGTGCACGATCGATTCCGAGCGCGCGAAAACCGTTCGTTCGAGCGAGAGCGCGCGGGTATTAATTGCCGCGTTGGCCGATCACTTGCGCGATTACTTAATTAACAGCGGCGAGCGACCGTCACCCTTTTTTCTCGCGCGGTGACAATGGGCACGCCGGCGGTCGTAACGATCGAAAGAATGGCAGCGTGATTACCGCGTAATTATACCACGATCGATCGCGATCTTATCGGTTCGATTCCGCTGAATGCTACGAAGCGATTATTAACCCGTTCGCGTTCAGACGCGATATTTCTTCGGCACGACCGGCCAATCGCGCCTCGATCTCGATTTTTCCGATTCTGCCGGTCGCGATCGCGCCGCGGAATCTAGTCCCGCGCCCGTTCTGAATTATTGAGCGATTTTCGCGGATCAATGGAGTATCGATTGGCTCGCTGTGCGGCGTGGTCGATATCCAGGAGTACGTTTCTGATAGAGCAACTTTCTCGGCGACGCGCGCGGATCCGATATATCCGTGAATCGAATCGAAATTGAGGCGCCGATTTATTCTATTCCAGCGGGCACGCGCGGATACAGGAGGGGGAGAGGGAGGGGGCAGAAGATTACCTCGATATCCGAATTATTTCACCGACGAAGTTTATTTACTGAAATAGTTGGACGTCGTGCGAGCATTCCCGACGAGCATCCGAATCGAAGATTAATCGACAGATGCTGCTCACTGCAATCGTAGATCTCCGAAGATGTGCACTGAAAAAGTGTTATCGTTTGAGTAATATTTATTTGATTCTAGTAAAATGGCTACTCTAATATTCCTTGGTAAATATTTACTAGAAGTAGAAATATAATGTGTTATATATGTGTAATAAAATAATTTTTTCTTTCTCTTTTTTGTATACAATTCGACCTACATATTGGAATTAAATTTGTGTAATTTTCTCTATCCCTACGTTTGAAATAAAATACACCAAAAAGCCTTGTTCCTGTTAATTGAGTAAGTAAATAAATAAAGTAAAAATATGATATTTCCTTCGTACAAGTAGACATTTATTTGTATGTGTTAAATTGTGACAAGTATTAATTGCTTTTAATATTGAGAATATTAGAATTTATTTTTAGAAAATATTTACTGGAGAGAAAAATCGATATTTCAAATCATTAGATTTTTCCAATGGAGAAGAGGTATTACTTAATTCTAGTAAATATTCTCTTAAATTTAAAACTATTTCACACTCTCATTCCGTAATTTACTTACAAATTAAGATATTACTGTGTTCGAGTAAGTATTTATTATTACAAGCTATTAAAATATACTTAAACCGATAAATTGATAAAAATATTACTTGATTTAAAAAGTTGGGAAACAAGCGATTACGTTTATTTGACCCTAACGCTTTCTTATTGTGTCAAATCCGCTATCACATAATGGTCGACTACGAGTGTCGCCCGGGGGCATCGGAATTTATGCGCACAGCAATTCAATACTGAATTATCTATTTCAGAAAACGTGGGTAACACATTGGTAGCAACGTGGCTCGCATACGCGCGTAACGCGTTCCTTTCTCCGCGCGACCTTAAGGACACGTCCACGTTACACGTCCGATCTTTTCCTCGATCTTTGTCACTTCGACTTTTGTTCCCCGTTGTCTGTCGATCCGATTCTTCTTATTCTCCCAAACTTCGTCCGTTTGATCATCCCTCTTAAGTGCAGAAAAATTCTCGTCTTCGCTCGTCCGCCGCTATCGCCTCTCACATCTGAAACGACGATTTCTGCAAGGACAAATATTCTCCGTAGAATCCATAATTACGACGTATGTATCTTTCGCCCGAGCAAATACGCTCCCTCGTATGCATATTACATATTTATTTATTTAAATCGGGAGTTACAATATCTCTCTCTCTCCCTCTCTCTTCTTCGGGCGCAGCGCATTCGCCGCGTGCAGGCTTACATATTCCATCTCGATATATCCCCGTCGGCTCAATTTTCGCGAAGAATACCCTTCACATACCCTTCGCCCAAGGTGACGATTCGCACCGTTCCCAAAGCCGTCGTCGCCGACCCCCC